AGAATCCGAAGCAGGCTCCAGGCTCCAAGCTGTCAGCGCAGAGCCCGACGCGGGGCTCGAACCCACGAACTGGGAGATCATGACCTCAGCCGAAGTCAGACACTTAAGCAGCTGAGCTACCCAGGCGCCCCATCACTTTTTTTTTTTAAGTTTATTTATTTTGAGTGTGTGTGAGAGAGAGGGGGGGACAGAGAGGGAGAGAGACAGCATGGGCAGGGGAAGGGCAGAGAGGGAGAGAATCCCAAGCAGGCTCTGCACCGTCAGCACAGAGCCCGACGTGGGGCTCGATCCCACGAACCGTGAGATCATGACCTGAGCCGAAACCAAGAGTCGGACGCTTTACCGACGGAGCCACCCAGGTGTCCCCAGATTACCCACTTTAGAGACTGGTCCTCAGCCAGGAAAAAGGGCAAACCGTGGGGTGCGGTTAATCGGCAGACCTCCCTAAACCTGCCATTTGAAGGTCTTGCCTGCAAATGGTGGAAATACCATTGCTTAAGAAAACGTGCAAACTCTAACCTTTTGAGAATTGACACAGAATTTAAGGGAAGGGGCCTTGGGAACAGAAGCCCCTCAGGAACGTGGGTGATGCCGCAGTGTTAACGGGACGAACCTGGCAGGTGCAAGAGAAGCCACTCCCGAGACAAAAGCCTCAACGGCGACACTCGATGTGGGGAGGAGGCGGTGGGGGCGGGCTGCAGCGTGAGGGCTAGCAGACTTGGCGGGAGGGTGTCCTCTCCCTCAGGGGACGGTCCTTGGGCTCTGGGACGTCGGCGGGGCGACACCCCAAGTGCAGCAAGGCAGAACCGCCACCGCGAACCCACCGGCCGACACCCTGCAGGGACAGGCCTCGAAGACCAGAGCGCGTGTGCACACGCCACCGGGTGGACCGGCGTGGTCGGGCCGGTGAGCCGAGCTCGTGTGCACGGCTCCCCGCTGCAGGCAGAGGGCAGAGGCCCGGCACCGCACCTGTTCGCTTGGGTTTCTGTGAAAGGCTTAACCACCAGGATGCACTTAGCTCCACCCTGGGTTGGGACCTGTTTTCTAAGGGAGGAAAGACACCCAAACTATAAATACCGGAGAACAGAGCAGGTTCCCTTACAGAAAAGAACGTGAATTCCAAAACGCAAATCTCTTGAAGACCTCAGTTATGACCGGGGCGCCTGGGGGGCTCCGGGGGTTAACGTCTGACTTCGGCTCAGGGCATGATCTCCATGTCTGTGGGTTCGAGCCCCGTGTCGGGCTCTGTGCCGACAGCTCGGAGCCTGGAGCCTGCTTCGGATTCTGTGTCTCCCTCTCTCTGCCTCTCTCCTGCTTCTGCTCTGTCTCTCCCAAACATTAAAAATAAATAAATCCTATCAGACCTAACGTCCCCTTAAAAAAAAAAAAAAAAGACACCAGTGTTGATTACAGGGAACCCCTTGAGCAGTCACTCCAGCCTGAAACTACTCTGTCCCATCAAGGGCTGTGAGGGTAAAACTGCCTTTCCCTGGGCCGCCCGGGGTGCCGAGGACACAGAACAGTCGGGATCCAGGAAGCCGGGCCTGACTGAATGGCTCTCATCGGCAGCAGGCCTCTGGTCAAAGGCGCCAAGGGCTTTCGGCTGGTCGACGACTCTACTGTTATCAAGTTGACTTGCTCGCGTGGCCCTCAGGTAACCGTGTGGAGTCACGACCGCGGCTACCGTGGGACACAGCCCCGGCCACACACAGCCCATTACCGTGGCTCCGTGTAGCTCAGCTCCGGGAGCACCTGCTTCGTGTCTCTGCCGTCGCGGAGGACACCGGGGGACCCCTGCATGGTCTCCCTCACCAGACCCTGTGTCTAACCCAAGGTTTCAGACCGCGGTCCCCGCGCCGCCCACTCCC